TGATGAATTTTTTTTTGCCTTTCAAGCAATTTTTGGATGTTGATAGAACTCTCCCTCATCTGCAAATGTGAGGTTGCTTTGTTTCCTACTAGCCTGCCCTTGCTTAACCGATCTTCGATGCATTTCAAGTGGAAAATGAAGGAGGGGGGGGGGGGGGTGTTGGTGGTGGTGGTGGTGGTGGTGGGGGTGATCTTGCCCCTGGTATTTAGGAAGTTACCAGATATACCTAAGTCCGTCAAGTTTATTAAAATGAAAATATAATGATTTTTGCACTGCATTTTTAGGGTTTTTTAAAAATTGATTTTTGAAATTCCCAATTAGTCCCTACATTAGGCTTTGGTAAATTATAATATCAGCTTTTGAAAGGAGAAGTGTACATGAACCCTCTTCCTGATAAAATTAGCGGTTAACAATTATGCCCTCTGAATATAATAATGTATCGTGCATTATTTATCCCCATCTTTTTTAATAAAATAAAACGAATAAAAAGCAAGGTTAAATTAAAATTCTGCAAGTTGACATAATTTTTTTTTAATTTAAGAAAGATAATATGTATGGGAATATTATGCCCTGGTTTGGTAAAGGGCGTGTTCGATTTTGCGTTGCTCTCAGTTTACTAGGAAAGTGGCTAACTTGAACTTTACATACAACATACACTGTTACATGTTGTTTTATTTTTAATATTTAAATATACTGATACTTTAGTTTTAAACTTGAGTTTTAATATTGCGTGTTATAGTGCAAATGAATATATTATTTTCCCTCCCAGGGCCCCTTTAAGGAAATTAATGCTAATTAATGATTAATTGCACATTACAAAACTAATTGATACTCCTTTTTTCCTTGTCAAGGAAGTTGCTTGCCTCTATAGCTGAAATTGCTGTAAAAATAGACATTGACACTTTCTCTAGGCTTGTAATTCCGCTCAGTACTGGAATTAGACCAACCCAAAGCACCGAAGAGCTGCATGGCATGATGCGGATTACGGGAGGTGGGAACATTCTTGAGACAGGTGCCTTTGTAGGCTGATAAAAGTGTTTTAGTTTTTTATCTTTCTGACTCAAATGAATCACATGTTGTGAGTCAAAAGCATATGTCAATTGTCATGCAATTTGATTCTGTTTTAAAAGAATTGAAGGGGAGATAACACTATTTATTTGGAGTCCTAAATGCAATTATTTGTCAGACTCGTCGGCAGATCCTCCTGTTGTATATTTTAAAAGGTGTATTCATAATTGCTGAAACTTTGTGATGCTTATATAAGTTCGTGTGGAATTACGGACTCTCTTTACCCTGCACAGCACACTGCATCTTTGCTAGCCAAGGGTTTCTGATTAGCTACTCTCCTCATAATATCAAAAACCCTTGCCTAGCAAAGATGAGCACACTGTCATTTTGAAATATATGAATTATTTATACAGATAGGCTAGAGAAGTATGTCCTCACTATGCTAACGTAAAATTTTAAAGAAATTAATAAGATTTGATGCATAATTATATATACATGTATTTATTTTAATTAATTGACATCTCAATGATTTACTCAATTTGCATATTAAGTTTTGAATTTGGAATTTATTTGCACACATTTTCCCGGTGTGTTTGGTCGACGGAATTCTCACTCCTCCATGCCACCTGATCCCATCTTTGATGTCTAAGAGGTTGCATTTGCTCTGCTCATGGTTTTTTTAGCTCACCTGAGCTGAAAGCTCAAGTGAGCTTTTCTGATCACATTTTGTCCGGCGTCTGTCTGTCTGTCTGTCCGTCCGTCTGTCCGTCTGTCTGTAAACTTTTCACATTTTCGACTTCTTCTCAAGAATAGCTGGGCCAATTTCAACCAAACTTGCCACAAAGTATCCTTGGGTGAAGGGGATTCAAGTTTGTTCAAAGGAAGGGCCATGCCCTCATTCAAGGGGAGATAATTGGGAATAAATGAAAATTTGGTGGCATATTTTAAAAATCTTCTTCTCAAGAACCACTGTGCCAGGAAAGATGAAACTTATGGAGAAACATCCTCAGGTAGTGTGGATTCAAATTTGTTCAAATCATGACCCCCGGGGGTAGGGCGGGGCCAAAATGGCCGACCAAAGTTTTACATAGAAATATATAGGAAAATTCTTTAAAAATCTTCTTCTCAAGAATGACAAAGCCATAATTGATCATATTTATATGGAAGCATGCTCAGGTAGTGTAGATTCAAGTTTGTTCAAATCATGACCCCCGGGGGTAGGGCGGGGCCAAAATGGCCGACCAAAGTTTTAAATAGAAATATATAGGAAAATTCTTTAAAAATCTTCTTCTCAAGAATGACAAAGCCATAATTCATCATATTTATATGGAAGCATGCTCAGGTAGTATGGATTCAAGTTTCTTCAAATCATGACCCCCGGGGGTAGGGCGGGGCCAAAATGGCCGACCAAAGTTTTACATAGAAATATATAGGAAAATTCTTTAAAAATCTTCTTCTCAAGAATGACAAAGCCATAATTCACCATATTTATATGGAAGCATGCTCAGGTAGTGTAGATTCAAGTTTGTTCAAATCATGCCCCCCGGGGGTAGGACGGGGCCAAAATGGCCGACCAAAGTTTTACATAGAAATATATAGGAAAATTCTTTAAAAATCTTCTTCTCAAGAATGACAAAGCCATAATTCATCATATTTATATGGAAGCATGCTCTTGTAATGTTTATTCAAGTTTGTTCAAATCATGACCCCCGGGGGTAAGGCGGAGCCAAAATGGCCGACCAAAGTTTTCAAAGATACATATAGGAAAATTCTTTAAAAATCATTTTCTAAAATATAGCAAATCCATGATTGGTCATGGGACTACTTTTGGATTTAAACTTTACAATAAAAAACCATTTTCTACTTTTTCCTTCCCTTAGTGCTCAGGTGAGCAATGTGGCCCATGGGCCTCTTGTTTAGCTCACCTGAGCCAAAGGCTCAAGTGAGCTTTTCTGATCACAATTTGTCCATTGTCTGTCGTCGTCCTCGTCGTTGTTGTCATTGTAGTCGTTGTCGTTGTAAACTTTTCACATTTTCATCTTCTTCTCAAGAACCACTGGGCCAATTTCAACCAAACTTGCTACAAAGTATCCTGGGGTAAAGGGGATTCAGGTAGTGTAGATTCAAGTTTATTCAAATCATCACCCCCGGGGGTAGGGTGGGGCCAAAATGGCCGATCAAAGTTTTACATAGGAATATATAGGAAAAATCTTTAAAAATCTTCTTCTCAAGAAACATTGGGCCAGGAAAGATGAAACTCATGTGGAATCATACTCAGGTAGTGTAGATTCAAGTTTGTTCAAATCATGACCCCCGGGGTTAGGGTGGGGCCAAAATGGCCGATCAAATTTTTACATAGGAATATATAGGAAAAATCTTTTAAAATCTTCTTCTCAAGAACCACTGGGATAGGAAAGATGAAACTCATGTGGAATCATCCTCAGGTAGTGTAGATTCAATTTTGTTCAAATCATGACCCTCGCGGGTAGGGTGGGGCCAAAATGGCCGATCAAAGTTTTACATAGGAATATATAGGAAAAATCTTTAAAAATCTTCTTCTCAAGAACCACTGGGCCTGGAAAGATGAAACTCATGTGGAATCATCCTCAGGTAGTGTAGATTCAAGTTTGTTCAAATCATGACCGCTGGGGGTAGGATGGGGCCGAAATGGCCGATTAAAGTTTTACATAGGAATATTTAGGAAAAATTTTCTTCTCAAGAACCATCGAGACAGGAAAGATGAAACTCCTGTGGAATCATCCCCAGGTAGTCTAGATTCAAATTTCTTCAAATCATGACCCTCGGGGGTAGGGTGGGGCCAACTGGCCGATAAAAGTTTTACACAGGAATATATAGGGAAACATTTTAAAATCTTATTTTCAATTTCTTCTAAGCCATGCTTAGTGATATTTATAGGGAATCATCCTCAGGTAGTGTAGATTCTAGTTTGTTCAAATCATGACCCCCCGGGGGGTTAAAATTCAAGCCCCCTCCCCCCCCCCCCAGTAAACTTTCAGTTCTGATCTGATATGTGCTTTTTCCTAGCCAATTGCTCAGGTGAGCGATGTGGCCCCTGGGCCTCTTGTTTTGTTTACCTTAACCCTAACATTAGCCTAATTAACCATTACCTTAAGGACAGATGATACAAACAATTTTTTTCTTTGAAAAAGATTAAATATCATGTCACAAGTTTAGAAAAGTGGATGGTTCTTTGAATTTTTTCTCCGAAGAACTGGGAAATGAAATAGACTTGGAAAATATTAGTAATATTTCAATGAAAAAACAAATATAGACAAAACACATTGGCGCTAAAAGTGTAATATAAACCTTAGAAAAATATACCAAGCCAGGTGAATTTTAAGAGGAAGATCAAAATGATAAAAAATTAGCAATATCACATAGGCTGATTTTTACTATTTAGCTTTTCCTAATAAAATTCACCTGGCTTGGTATATTTTTCTAAGGTTTATATTTCACTTTTAGCACCAAGATAACATATTCTGAAATTTATTTTCACCTGTAAACCTTTACTGAATGTGATTTGTCTATATTTGTTTTTTCATTGAAATATTACTAATATTTTCCAATTCTTTTTCACATTCCAGTTCTTAGGAGAAAAATTTCAAAGAACCATCAACATTTCTAAACTTATGACATGATATTAAATCTTTTTCAAAGAAAAAATTTGTTTGTATCATCTGTCCTTAAAGGGCACCTTTAGTCAAAAATTATTGTTCAATTAAAATATATATTCGGTTATTTAAAATCCAGTCCTGAAAAAATCACGTTTGTAAGATGTGTGGTTTAGCTGAAATTAATTAAAATGTCAGATGCTCGGTGAAAGTAATCTGAGCTCGGCAGTTTCCGCTGTTATCGGCTGCATGACGAAAAGAATGTGAACAGATGCAGAGACAGCTTCAATGTTGTTACACTACATGGCATGTAAATAAACATGTCCTGTGATACTCACAGTGAAACAAAAAGAGGTAGAAGATGTGTAGCGGGTGGGTGTTCAAGTACACATTTAGATGGAGTGTCCCTGCACTATTTTCCATTTAAAAAGGAACCACATCTTGTACCAAAGTGGACTGCCTTTGTTAGACTTAAGAGAAAATGGCCTGAGGGCCCTACTAAATATTCCAGCCTTTGTGAATTACATTTCGATGACTCTTGTTATCCATTTGAGTATCGATTCAAAAAATCACAAGGAATTCCAGTGAAGAACAAAGTTCTAAATCCTGGGTCAGTACCAACAAAACATCACCCTAGTGTTTTAGGAAAACGTGATTTGAGCTCTATTGAGGAGGGTGAGGAGAAATCCAATGAGAGAGAAAAAAGAAAGGAAACGGATAAGAGGGGCATTTGTAAAACGAGAAAATTTTAGAGTAAGTAGATTTTACATTTTAACCTTAAACAAAGATGTTATTAGACAATATTTTTAGAAGGTCTGGAAAATGTTTATACTGGTAATTCATAACAAAATATTTGAAGATGATACATGTATCTTATTGTAGATCATTACAGAGAAAACAGAAGTTCAGAATAAATCTATGCAAGAAGCTGAAGCTAGAAAATCAGAAGAAGATTCAAATTGCACAATGACTGACAATGAAATCAATGTAAGCTTGAAAATGAATAGAAATATACCATACCCTTTAAAAAATAATTAATATCTGGACTGAGTATGCATACATGTATATCCTGTTCCATAGTCTTGTATATTAATTTAATTGGGATTTTTAGAAAGGTTCAGAAGGATTTTCAAAATCAAAAGAAGCCTTCAGTCAGACAAAAAGGTCATGGAATAAAAGAAGTAAATCTAGCCAAACCAAATCTAAAGCATCTACCAAAGGTAAATATAAGATGAACATTTTCTGAGACTTAAGAGTTTCAATTAATCTAATTTAAAAAAAATATTAAATTGTGAAATGGAAGTATTTTTTTTCAATCAGGGACTCAAATAAATATGTATCCTGCCCGAAGAAGTGTGGGTATACAGTGCAATATAAACGATAATGAACAATCTATGAGTGATCAATTCCTAAGATACGAGGATGACATGCCAACAGAATCCTCCGACCTGAAAATTTCTTCTGATTCTGAATATCAAGAACATCCTGAAAGTGATGATTCCATGGAGTATTCCTCCGAGGAAAATGAGTGAGTTTATAGGTTGTATTTCATATTTATTTATGCTGGGAAACTCTGCATGATCAACTTTCTTTAAAAAGAGTTTTTTTTTCGTTTGCTTGTCAGAAAACCAAATGCAAGAGAAGAGAAGAAATTCATTGTGTTTCAATCCCAACTGATGAAGTTATTTCATACCTGTTCCAAATGCAAGTCTCCAGTTGTGGGGAAGATAAAACAAATAAAAGGATCATTCATTTCAGTTGAAGTGGAATGTATTCTTTGTAATCTAAAATCAACATGGAATAGTCAACCCTATATTGGAGAGGTACCTGCAGGAAATCTTCTGATATCAACATCAATTGTACTATCAGGGTCCATTCCAAGTAAAGCTCTCAGAATGTTTGAATTCATGAATGTTCAAGCTCCAAAACTGTCAACATTTTACAATCATCAAAAGTGCTATATACATCCTGGAATTTTTCATATTTGGAAGAATTTCACAAATTCTTATGTAGAATATGTGAAGCAACAAGGAAATCCACTGGCTCTGGGTGGAGATGGCCGAGCTGACAGCCCTGGACACTCTGCAAAATATGGGGCTTATTCAGTGATAGATCTAGATGAGGGGTTAATTGTGCACATAGAGCTTGTTCAGGTACTGTTGAGTGTTAATTACTGATACATGTATTCTTTTCGTATTTATGTAATATCTTAATCATTTTATCCCATTTATTCCTGTGTGTTAAAATATATATGTATATATACATATATTGTAGTCAAATGAAGTCAAAAGTAGTTCCCACATGGAATTAGAAGGTTTGATTAGAACAATGGCTTATTTTTGTGATATGGAGGTAGAAATAGGCACATTAGTAACTGATCGGCATGTCCAAGTCAACAAGTGGGTTCGAGAGAACTTGCCGAATACACGTCATGAATTTGATGTATAGCATGTAGCTAAAGGTAAGAAAAACTGAAAACATCTGATTGTTTGAAAATTTTTCATTCTTTCAATCGTATTTTATACCAAATTTTAATTAATTTCAATATTTTAGGCTTAAAGAAAAAGCTTCTATCATTGTCCAAAGAGAGGGAGTGTAGCATTGTTGTAGAATGGATCAAAAGCATGACTAATCATCTATACTGGGTAGCTGCCTCATCCCCAGGAGGAAGCCCACAGCTGATGCTCGAAAAGTGGCATTCTCTTGGAAATCATCTCCAAAATGTACATGAAGGTCATGGAGAATTATACCCAAAGTGCAGCCATGGAAATTTAGAGGGACGAGAGAGAAAAAAACATTGGTTCAAATCAAGTAAGAGGATACGAGTACATGTATATCCTTGATTTATAACAAGTGGTAGAATTGTGTTAGAAGTTTTGTTTTTATTTTATTCTTTTTATTTAGGTACAAAGGCATGTGAAAAGGTACTGGAAATCATCCATTCAAAACAGTTACAAAAAGATGTTCCAAAATTATCAACAGGACACCAGACTTCAGATCTAGAAGCTTATCATTCTGTTGTCAACCACTTTGCCCCTAAAATGTACCATTTTTCATACCAGGGGATGCTAAGCAGGTAATGTATCAAGTTTACATCAAGGAAATTTAGGAAGTTATTAAAAGCATGTTGTTTATTATATATATAGCAATAAAATGCTTTACTACATTATATTTGTTCCAGACTAATCCTCTCTGCCTTGCATTTTAATGAAAATGGCAGAAAACCCCAAGACGAAACACAGGAGGGAAAAGCTAGGTACAAAATAACCTTTCCTAAATTTAAGAAAGGTGGATATACTGTGAGAGAAGTAAAATCACAAAGTACTTACGGTAAGACAACTTTAATTACATAATATTGATGCAATGTAAGAATTGTATAAAACAAATTATCACATTATTAATATTTTCATCTCCATTTTTCTTTTATAGAATATGCAGAAACAATAATGGACACAACCTTTAAAATTAGTGAAAAGGTAAAAATGAATAGTGAGATATGTGCCAAGATGACTGTAGTTCCTCCTCGGCCATTGTGCCATGAGTATTCTCATCCCGTGAAAGAAGCAGCAGTATTGGAAAAATCTAGTAGGTTCAATCAGCAAAATTAAACCCTGTGTGAGTTTCTCCAGGTTGAAGCGGGAATGTTTCTCTGATTTTTGAGACTGCACAAGATGGTATGACTACTCTGACCTTCTTGCCTAAATAGCCCCAACACCAACGTACAAACTGCCTGTAAGCTGTGTATCTATGTCGTCTGAAATTCAATAAATACATGTAAATATATCAAAATGAGATGCCATTTTATATTAGTAATAATTTAACTAATTATGAATCTGAAAAGAAATGGGTAATAGAATTGACTTACTTTGTTGATTCTTCCAAGTTCCCTCCATATTGTTGTCGATATTGATAGTATGCAGTTCTCAGTACATGAATATCAAGACAAACTGTTCTAAACCCAGGATGATGTGTTATGCAATTAAGTGATGTGTCGGTTCTTAAAATCTCTTCCTTTACTTGTTGTATCTCTTGACAGCACCTGTTTTCGGTATTTGATGCCATGATTGTGCAGCATTGACATGAACACCTACTTGGGTATAAGAAAAGAAAAAAATTGTATAAAAAAAAATATTTGTTTGAAATTTTCTTTGTCAAAATATTTTTGACCTTAATGAAACAATTGCAACTTTGATATGTATAATTGAATTAAAAGAAAATTAAACTATTCTTCACCAGTCTGTGTTATGTGTTCTGTCTTCCTCATCAGCTTCTGAATTGTCGGATGCATCTTCATCAGAAGTTGCATAAGGCTCATATTGGTATGGGAGAATACCAAAGCCAGCATTTTCTGTCCCAATAGTATCAGAATCTGTCTCTTCATGGTCAGAAGAATCTTCACTAAGATCTTCTTTATTGTCTAATTCCTCCTCAACATCCAAATCAAACCAAATGTCATTTTCTTCTAATACAGTGGACCCTCATTTATCCGGACGCTTTGGTTCCTAGTCAATTTGTCCGGATATGTGAAGCATCCGGATATCTGAATCACCAGTTAAACAAGAAAGAATAACATTTAAAAATTTCGTTCCGAAGAAAAATCGTCCGGATGCTGAAGCATCCGGATATCTGGCGTCCGGATATCTGAAGGTTCACTGTATTTCAATTTCATCTGTTTGTGAAGCCATGATGCTAATTGTAAAGTAAAAGGCTCTCGCGGTCACATTCGTGACGTTTCACATTCCACAGCTGATAAGAGAACTTTTGCAGCTTTCACGCTCGTGTGTTTCCGTGAGCAGGCAGAAAATGTCAAATTTTAATTGTTTTATCGGCTAAACCGCTGCAGATAAAGAGGTGCAGATTTTTCATGTGTCCATAGATAAATTACTTTTAATGATTAGTAAAAAGAAAATATTTGACTAAAGGTGCCCTTTAACCCTAACCTTACCCTAATTAACCCTAACACAAACCCTAATCTAACCCAACCCAACCCAACCCAACCCAACTTAACCTAACCCTAACCCTAACCTTAAACTAATTAACCCCAAATCTAATCATAACCCTTAACCTACTCAACCCTATCCCTAACCCTAACCTCAACCAAATTAACCCTCATCGTAACACTAACCTTAACATAATTAACCCTAACCTTTCCCTAACCTAATCAACCTTAACCCAAACCCTACCTCTAACCCTAACCCTAACCTATCCCTACCCCTACCCCTACCCCTACCCCTACCCCTAACCCTAACCCTAACCTTAACCCTAACCCTAGCCTTTACCTTAACCCTAACCTTAATCCTAACCTTAACCTGAAGGTTAAACATTTAAAAATATATTCTGCATAAAATAAAAAAGAAATGTCCACTCATGGCTCTGCAAGCTGCACTATTTTGGACTACAGCATCATTCTCTGCTGATATTTATTATTATATAAGGTACTTTACTTCCCCTACGGTGCCAGGACAAGAAAAAAAAAGCTGTGACATATGGTTTCTCTCATAGGCAGAGGATATAATCTATGTTAACATTTAATCAATTTGTTCATCTCCACTAATTCCAGCAGGGAAAGTCAGTGATAAATATTTAAGCATTTGTTACTGTACAAACAATCCTGCACGTGATGGCCTAAAATAAGTGAAATTCTAAAAAAAAAAATCTTGTCATTTTGATGGGTAAATAAAAAAGAGATTCTTAACATTTATACATTTTATTCTTTGAAATGAAAGGTGTGAACACCCATGATTTCATATCCTTCTCAATGACTGTTATTTTCCTCCAATGACTGTTAATCACCCAGGAACATTTGGTTCCGGAGCCTAACCATTCAGTTTCAGGGGGGTGCCATCCTTAAATTAGTCACATAGAGTCAACATGAGTCAATGAAAGAAGAAAAAAAATCAATAAATTTTGCAGACAGTCAATTGGAATTCCCTTGATAATCCATCTGTCGAATTTGGCATGTTTGGGTGCCCAGACTCATTAAAGAGCTATTTTTTTATTTGATATCGTAAGACAAGTTTGTTTTCCTTTTAGATTATGAAAGTACAGGTGCATACATATTTGAATAATGTATTTTTTAATGCAAGTGGAGTAAAAGGAAGTAGGTGTCATGTTAAACCAATTCAGTAATTTTTTCGTCTGTCTAACCCATCTGTAAGTGATATAGGGGGGTTGACTGTAGGAATCACTGAGACACATTATCAGTTCTCATCAGGAGGGGGATCCTGGGACCCCCTGTCTGGCTGTTAATTGGTTTAGTCTGACAGGGCATCAATGAAAGACAAGTGTATGGAGTGAAAAAAAAATTACACATTAATTTCTCTTTGTTTGTAGAATGTGCAAGTCTTGCTGAATCAGACTGCCATTGTTCAATTGACTGGTCAATAATTTCCTCAGAGTCAGGACAGTGTTAGGTTAAGCCTCTGGTACATTGTGAAGGAGGACAGCTGGCCTTCTTGGAATTATTTTGGGGAATTTTCTTTCTAATTTCGGTAAGTGCATTATAGATATGATATTATAATTTTTTCAGGTGAATAACGATTGAATTTCCTTATGAAATGTCTTTATTATTAGATATACTATCAGTACTTTCCACAATAAAGAAAATCGAGGAAGGTAACAAAACTATTTGGGGAAAAATGTTTGTTGAGAAATATTTATTTGTATTAGAATATGAGTAAAAATGCAATGTTACCTAGTTAAAGCATTTTATTGATTTTATCAGATTGTTTGAATAACTTTATGGAAGAATTTATGAATCATGCATGTATACAGGGATCTTTTCAAAGAATTTTAATGATTAAATTTAAAATGGCAAATATTCAGGTAAAAATCCAATATTATTTATACCAGTTGTTTAGTATACATGTACCAAGTCTAGTCTTTTAGAATATCACAAAAATGGGTGTGGCAGATGCGAGTACAGCATATACAGTTAATGAGAGTCTTTACTTAGCATGCTTGTAAATGTAGAGGAAAAACTATTGGGAATTTTGAAGTGCACCATAGGATGTAGCAACTGAATAGATCGTGTCAGTTTACTTCTTGTCAAAATGGAAACAAACTCCCATTTGTCATACATTTTTGTATGACATTTTCATTACTTTTTCAAATGAGGAAATTGAAAAGGGAAAGATTTGTTACTTTTAGATAGTTGACAGTATGGTTATATTCACTTCTGTCCATTATAACTTTTCAAATGTGCAAATTATTGCCTTCTGAAATTTTTTACAGTTTAAATGCCTGTACCTACACTAGCCTAGTTTCAAATAAAGACCCTGGAAAATGTGCTTTATTACCTAGAAGTGTTAAGCTAGACAGATTGATTCAGATCTCTCTAGGACACCAGAGCTGCTCTAATGTTTAACAGGAGAAGAGAACAATGCAGCAGACCAGGGATTTGAACCCAGGTCCCCTGGATCTCCAGTCAGGTGCTCTTCCATGGAAGTACCAACTGGCCACTGGCAATTGAACCGACTGACCTCCACATTCCTTTCTGCTTGAAGGTCTTTGGCCCCGAAAGACACCAACCCAGTCTCTTCCTTGGCAGTTCTTTCAAGTATCACTTTTAGAGCATGGCACGGCACCAAATGTAACAGGAAATGAGAAAATGTGATGGATCAGATTGGGATTCAAACCTGGTCCCCTGAATCAATAGTGTGATGCTCTACCGACTTAATTATTTGGCCACCAGTGATCCCACCTGATTACCACTGTGGTACAGATACTAAAATAAAGTTAAGGTTTTGGATGAAGTTGGGTTTTTAATTGAAAATCTGATGGTCAGGAGGCTTCAAGCGCCAGTGGCCAGATAGCTCAGTTGGTAGAGCACCTGACCGGAGATTCAGGGGGCCCGAGTTTGAATCCTGGTCTGGCCCGCTGCACTTTCTCCTCTCCCGTTACATTTGGTGCTGTGCTGTGCCCTGGAATTGACAGGTGGGATGCCTGCCAGGGATGAGCCTGGGTTGGGGTCTTTGAGGGACCAAAGACATTTAAGGAGGGAGGAATGTGGCAGTCAGCCTGGTTTGATCACCAGTGGCTGGGTAGCTCAGTTGGTAGAGCACCTGAATAGAGATTCATGGACCCGGGCTCCAATCCTGGTGTGGTCCACTGCATTTTTTTCCTCTCCTGTTACAAACAAATATATTCTGAATAATCTTTGGATTTTTATTTTTTCTGCCAGAGATTTTTGAACCATCTGCCAGCTTTACCACATCCTGTCACTTTAACATGTAATTCTTACTGAATTCTCTCCATATGACTTATAGTAAGTCCATCTACTAGGTGTAGATTTATGATTTATGTGAGATGAACCAGAGATCCTAGAATTGCTCGTATCTCACTCTCAATCAAAACAATAATGTGCATGTTTATGAAAAGCAGTCAGTTAATAACCTTGAAAGTTTCCTTTTACAATTGTTAGTTATGTTCTTGTGTAGCAATTAGCAGGTTAACGACTTCCCTCTTATTGGCAATTTTTAGATTGTTGACCGACCATCAAAAAAGTCCAATTGTGGCATACTCTTTCCATCACTTAATTATCATTGTTTGCAAAAACTTGTGATATAGAAATATAATATGTATGATATAATAAGCATTATAATAGCTTCACAGGAAGAATGTATTTTTAGTAGATGAAGGCTTTGAAGTTTTTGTTATTTTATTTCCTCCGTTTACCCATTCTTTTTTTGCCTGAAGTGAAATCAGACATTTTTGGCAGAATGCCGGGGAATTTTGTCAGAGAAAATAATAAATTGAAGTTTTTGAGAATCTATCTGTGTTTAGGCATGCCTTTGTCTGATGTATGATCAGATGTGCTGATTTCGGTCTGTAACATGCCTCAGACTAAGGGTAAACAAGCAATTATTGTTCATAGGAGGGAGAGGGGATGATTAAGGGGGGGATTGAATGATTCTTCCTCCTCAACAAATGAAATGAGTAATCAGTCAGTTTGCTGTGGTGAATGAAACACCAATAAGAGTTATTTCCCTTTATTCATAAAAATTAATCCTGATTAATTTTATTTAAAAAAGATAATTACAGAATTTTATGTGAGATATGTTGATGTTCATTTGAAAGCCGAAGAAAATTTAATGATAGTATATGGCACCATAGATTTGAATCATTTCTCATATTGCACTTCCCTATAGTTCATTATACTGACAATAAGTACGTCCCTCGAGAGTCGTTAATGGACAGAGAGGTGATGATTCATTAATTAATTGCAGGTGAATGATGGCGTCTCAGTTTGATTCACTACTAGACTTTGGGGACTCCAATACCGGGGATTCCAAGTCAACCACCAACCAAATGACGGACGATTTCGACCCTTTTGGCAGCCCCTCCCCCCTGGATGCTAAGGGAGGATCAGGGATGGATTTACTGGGGGAATTTAACTTTGATACACAGGTAAAAATATTGGATGTATTACTTCGTAGTTTATTGCATGTATAACAAGGGAAGAGTTTGTGATGTGTCACTTTTCTTGGAGTTTTGAAAACCTAGCTCACAGTAACTTACAAGTAGCAACTGCTACTAGTCAAATTTTCTACTGTACTTTATTCACCTGAACCAAAGACTGAAGAGAGCTTTTTTGATGGAAAGGTCTGTCTGTTATCTGTTGTGTTGTGTGTCATCTGTAAAATTTTTCACATTTTGACTTTCAATTTCAATTAAACTTGCCGAAAAGCATTCTTTTTTTAAGGGGATTCAAGTTTGTTCAAATGAAGGGCCACACCCTCTTTTAAGGGGAGTAATACAGAATTAGTGAAAAATTAATGTCATCTTTTAAAAATCTGGTTTTCTAGACCACTGTGCCAGAAAAGGTGAAAACTTTTGGGAAAGTTTTATTTAAAATACATAATATAGATTCAATCATGATACTTGTGGAGGGGGGGGGGGGTAGGTGTTGGGGCCACAACAAGGGATAAAAGATATACATATAAAGAATTATAAATTTTTCTTTAAAATTTTCTTAGGCCTCTTGTTGGTCATTTCTTTACATGATTATATTGAAAATTAGAGATTTTCACAATAAATTAAAAGAACTGACTGAAGCCCTTAATCAAAATTAATTATTTAATTACCAGCACTTGCTGTTTTTCTTATGAAGCAAAATGCCTTCCCCACATCATCAAAAGAATGATTTGATTAACTCTGATGGTTTTTATTGTTTCTCTCCTTCGAATCTGATGTTTTATGGTAAACAAATTACTTTTGGGTGTGTATTAATTCTTTTTGCCCAGCTTTCTGTTGTTTTATGAAGAGAGTGTTTGGGTAGCATTTTGTGTATTGGAAGGGAGGTAACTCTTCAATATTGCAGATTCAGAATCTTATCAGATCCATCAATTTCTTTCTGTCTCTGTGTGTGAATGACTACTCAGCAGGAATATCAGTGAGATAAGGGTCTCTCCTTATCTCACAAACATCTCCAGCGAGACATACAACAAAAACTTTTTAAAAAAATTTCAAGTGAAAAATATATGATCTGGGAACATATTTGTTTCAGGTTTCTCTGTGATTTCAGTTTTAAAAACACAAAAAACAATGTATAATCTCATGAAGAAATCAATATTTAAAAATTTTGGTATTTATATACGAGTGTGTGTTTTTATTTTGTTATAGGATTTTTCGCCTGGCTGCTTGCAAATTATTTATACGGACTTGAAGTTTCAAGTTGTTTACAAATGAGAGAGTTCCTCTAGATTTTCAATTATCAGTTAATTACATTCCTGGCAGTCTAAGAAGAAACCCAAGTTTTATCAATATAAGTTTTCCAATACTTTTCCATTAATGATATCTTAATGATACAAATACCTTTTATCCCATTAGCACACTTTGTGTATAAAATAGCAAGCATTATATTGTACATTTTATAGTTACACTGTCACAACTTTAAAACCACATAAAGAGAGGGATGGGCTTTTTAAATACACATAAACAAGGGTATGTGTATTCTAATAATCTTGTCTTTGTGTGCACAGTATAATACATCAGCCTTTTCTTGACTACACTCAGGGCAATACATCAGTATATATATGCTAATGTTTTTATAAGGCAAGGAAATGGTGTTTCATATTACTTTCAGGCTCAAGAAAACCACTTCCTTGACACAAGCACTAACTGTTCTCTAATTACATCTTGCATAATATGGCTAAGCGAGAAGTTCTCAAATAAAGGGGTTATATTTCTGAAACTTTGTTATCACCCCTAAGGGGGCCTCAGTAGGTTCTATGCTCAACAAAAATTTCTTGATGTGTGACCTGAATTTTTAACTCGGCAGTAGAGGCATTGGAAGAAATGAGTTTTTCTTGCTTTTCCATAAGGAGATAAGAATTTGGAACCCCCCTCCTGAGATTGCAAACACTTGTGATTGGTCCACCAGAGATGTAAGTTTCAAGTACCCCTCAAATTCTGATGCATGTCTGCTAGATTCTTCTGTTGTGGGTTAAAAAGAGAGGAGCTTTTTATTTTCTTTTCTTCAAAGGAAATTATACCTAGCTGTCATAAGACCCTGGAATTTTAACTTGTTGACAAACAAAAGGTGAGTGGACAGACTGAACAACTCTCAGGAAAGGGGTGTGTCCTCTGGGGTTGTGACCTAGTTATTCTGTGGCATGATTTGTAGGCTGTCTGCTAAAGGTTTTGAAAGGGATATACATGATTACAGTGATTTGAGTAAGTATTATAACTTTCTTCAGCAGATAGATTGGTAGGTGTGAACTGTAATTATTATGCATTGTGAAAGTAACTTGAGTCAAGAAAATATCATTTTATGTTTAAAAGTGACAGTGAAATATTGATCAAAACTGTTTATGTATAGTTAAACTGTTTTTATTGAGAACCCTAATGTTCTGTGCATTGCTACATTAATATACTCCTAGCTTATATTAATGAGTATAATTGGTAAATGGTACATTAGAAACTGATACTTTGGCTGCAGTTATAATGAAGTGGGTTATTTGGTAATTTTGTAGTTGTTTGCTCAGCATCTGCAGTTAAAATTACATAACCAGCACTGAAAACTTGGCAATGTGGGTCCAAAAATTGGCTTAAGCCAATATTATCAGACTATATTTCATTACCAGGGTGTGATGTTGAAGATTTGCTGTATTTAGCCGTAATACTGGAATATCACAAAAACAGCACATCTCTCAAATGTGACAGACAACTCATGCAGATTTTCAATACATCAAGTGATGTAACCTGTCAAAATATCGGGGTGTTATGTTTATGTGTTACCTGTCTGAGAATAGAACATTATTGTATTAAAAAATACTGGGATACTTATGGAGTTTGTTTGGTCAAAAATTTACAGCATTTCTTGACTTCTGAATATTTTCTACTACATGTAGTTCTTTTGGTCACCATTGGCCACATTTATTTTCAATAGAGAGTGGCAGAACCTTTGACCTTTTTTTTTTTGAGCCACCTGGGTTTGAAATTGAATTCCTTTGCAATATAGATGTTACCTAGGAAGAAGTAATACATACAAAAGATTTCAAACCTTTTTGATCAGCCTCTGTAAAAATGGAGTTGGTCCCAAACCAAAACCCTTTCTTTTTGTTATTTTTTAAAATTCTTCTCATAAAAAAATACTCATGTCAAGGATAAAGAAATTTGTAGATCTCTGATTATGTATAAGGGTATGCTGAAGTAATTATGAGTATCAAAGCATGGAAGACTTGCAAGAGATTACAGTAGAAAATGTACTCATGGAGTACTTTCACATGTCCATATATATACACTGTTTTGCTCTTGAATATATCTTGAAAAAGATAATAGTATCATGTAAACTCTTTTGTCAAAGGATTAAATATAAACTCAAGTAACCCTGGAATATCAGTTTCAGTACAGTATATTCCACTTATCCTTTCTTCTATAACATATGGCGCTAGATAAGCCCAGCTCTCCCTCAAGGTTTCATCACAACATGAGTCAGAATCCATCAATTCCTAGGGAAAATTTTTCTTCCATGATGCATGGCTTCTGTTGTTTTTTTGTGGATTTCATAAACAATCAAACTCAAATTTCTTCACAAATTTTGCACTGTAAGTAAAAAAAAAATCCTTAAATTTTTTTTTTGTTTGAAAATTTTTTTTTCCAAAATACTTTTCAAAATAAGATTTCTATGGAATTTTTTGCTGCAAGTTGGCTGCTGATGTTGAAATTTTTGTACACCCACTGCTGCTAAATTTTCAAATGGTCTGAAGGTAACTTTTGTGTAAAAAATAGCTTTATAAACGAGCTAGGGGAAAAAGATTTGTCTGAATTGATTTAAGATTGCTAACTGTCACCCGTATGGAAGGAAAAGACAGAATATAGACGGATATAGATTACGGAATTAGTGTACTGGTGCACACGAACCAAAATAAACATCATTGTCTAAGAATAACTTAAGCAAAGAGAGTGATTCATGGTAGTTTCCACAATTTGGCAAAGAATGTAACATGAAAGAACCCAAATTCCTCAGAGCTGTTATGCAGATCTTTTAATTAAAAAGAGCATTGTAGGCCATAATGATGAAATAAGTACAGAGCACAAGAATTTGTCAAACTTCATTTTTTAGCAAATTAGCTTTGAGACCAAGGGACTTTATGTTCTTGTAAATATTAAAAGCATGTGTTTGAAGTGCCTTTGTGACAAATTTCTGTTTGAAATTATAAAATGGAAATAAGGGAAAGAAATAGGGTAATGAATAAGAGATTTACGAAAATAAGCTTATTAATGTGTGCAGATGCAGGGTAGAACCTGAAAAAAAGTCGCATGTGGCATAACTACCACTTAATTAAGATTGCTCAGACCAGAAATGGGTTTCTGAGCTGCATTCAGAATTACATAATAGCTAGCCCTTCTAATTTGCTTCCTGCCAGACTGGTTCATTCAAAAAAACATCAATAATATTTAGGCTCATTGAGGAAAAAAAACCCATTGTAACTGTTACAATGAAAAGGACAATACTGTCTGCAAGATGAGAAGCTCACCTGAGTAACTTGACCTACTGGTATAGATGCCTGATGGAATTGTGCAGCCATTGTGCAATAAACTTTTTAATGTTTTCAGCTTTTCGTCTGAATTGGTGAACCACTTTCAACCATCTTTTGATGGAGGGGGATCAGAAATTGGGAGTTTCATGGCCCTAAACCCTTGATCAGAATGGTGGGGCAAAACAAGGCTAAAGCCATCAAAAAACCCATACAGTCTTCAAAACTCTTCCCCTGCTTGAAATATATATTGTTATACTTTTAAAAATTTTTTCCTATACAAATCTGTACAAAAAAGTCTAACATTTCTAATGTTTTCCTGAACGGGCATAAAAAAATCGATGTTGAACTGCTGAGTGAGATGTTGGACCGGTCGATGAAATGTTGGACCGCGTACATCACAGAATGGATGGAGCTTAATCTCATTTTCATTCTTTGGTGTTCAAAAGTGACAAACCTCAGGTTACATCATGGAAGACAGTACAAAATACATGTATGTCAAAAAAATTAAAATGAAAGGTATAACGAAACATTTATTGACTATGTTCTCAGGCAAAATGCATTTTGTTGACCCTCGAACCAAACTGTCTGCCTTCAGCTTAACGGCCTCATTCAGACAGTTTTGTTCTTGGGTCCAACAAAACGCATGTTGCCCTCGAACTCGGTCAGTAAATGTATAGTAATGGCATAAGCATCCTTGATTCACTATATAGTATTCTTACATGAATATGGGATTGGTGGGTGGGGGCCACCATTTGAGAGCTCTGCGTTCATAGTACCTCCTAGAGGCTAGTTTCAAAAACTTAAATGGTAACTTGTTAGAATTTTCCAAGCATTGTTTCATTCAAATAGTTGTCATTAATTTCATTAATTTAGATGTAATTTATGCAATCTGAGTCTCTGACAAGTCGTCAGAATTGTTGATTTTCAAGAATTTCAATATGAATTATTTACAAGAGCCAGTATACAGAGAAAACCATCAAGAGTCAAGCTAGGCTCTGGACATGTACAACACCCAAAGATAATAATGTGTGACTTTCTTTGTGTACATTGAAGTATTGAAAAAGATATACAACAAAGATAGGTTGGACAAGATACCTTAAGATTGCAGACATTAAGTCATTTATCTACAAAAGATATGTATCAGAAGTCTAGATGATTAATAAGTGTTCTCAAAGGTCATTGAACATGCGACGGTTATATTTGACTCGAAATGTGTATTGAAATCTTTTTCAAGCCTGTGAACCACAAATTATTGGCCTTATATATAACAGTATATTACATGTTTGAACTGTTTTGATGGAGAAGAATTCTGAATCTTATCAAGATTATCAGTGAGGTAAGGTATTTATAAGGTATTTATAAGACAGATAATTAATCCTACTTATCTTCTGACAATGGCTAAGTAGTAGATAAAAAAAAAAAAGAATTAGCAATGCAAATGAAATAATTGTTTAAAGAATTTTTAACAATGAAAGATTGCTTTGGTGATAAAAAAAATTTAGGAGAAAGGATGGTGAGCTTATAGTCAGGTATATTTATTTACGTAGTTTGTATTTGGCAAAAAATTATAACTTTGAAAAATGGGTCAACAAATTATGATTTATTGTCAAGAATTTCTTTTTTGATAAATGAATTGGACAATGTTGTTTTAATTAAATCATTCCTAGGAGGTCTCCGTCTTAATTCATGGTGAAAGAAGAAAAATGATGTTCTAATATGCAAGATTTAGATTTTGAAGATGTTGACATAAAAGGTATCCAGAATGGAAGTTTGCTATATTCCTCTATTCAATATCAAATCAAGAAATCTGAAAACCATTGGCAAAAATCTAGTATTCATGATAACTATATTTCTATGGAAATGTGACTTGCTAGTCAATAATTACATCAGTGTATGTGTTGGACTGAGATCAAATTATGAATATGATTATGAATATGATTTTTTTTATCTTGACCACAAGAATAAAAAAAACTCAGGTGTATTATGTCTGCAGGTATTGACAGTTGATTCATTTACACCCAGATTGACCACATATCCTTCAGTGTATGACACAAAATACAGGCAAATACAGGCTTTACTTAACCAATTCTCTTCTTCTTGTCCCATTGTGAGACAGATAGGTGGGATTTTCTGTTTACAAGCTTATGTCTTTTTGCTTTTAACCAAGTTGTTTTCTTCTGTGGAATGTGCGAAGGGTCGAATTGCTGGTTAATGGTTTTTGATTTATTTGGGGACAGGTGAGGAATTTCAGACAGGTACATGTTAATGTATTCCGCATTTTATTTAGTGGAGTTAAATTACAATTATTACACTTTTTTGTCGTTTTTCTAAAGAAGGTGTAGACTTCTCTCGGCAAGTAATCTTTTTTGCTTTATCTCTGTGAATCGGTGTAAAATTAAAAGTAAGAAATGTTTCATAATTTTGTTCAAAAGCGGAGATTTTTATCTGAGCATGTTATGTATGCAGTATGAAAAGATTTGAAAGGTGCGAGTAAGAGGATATAAGTAGCTGGAAAATAGAGCCAGGTTAAAATGGGACAAGTTGATCGTAACTTATTCAGGGGATGTTTGATAAGTATTTATAACATTCAAGTACTTTCTGAAGTATAGTTGGCTATTATGAGGCCCCAGGGTTGACAAAGCAGAATGTATAGAGTTATAAGAAAATTACATGAGTTATTTCTCTGAAATAGGAATAATGGTTATCTGTTATAAAGTTTCATGAATGCCTCTCTTATTTATAAATAAACCGAAGATGCTCCATCATTGTAGGGATAAAAGGAAATAAAGACAGATGACTGGTCAAACTTTTGTGACACATTCTATTAGACAAGATAAATCTTTTACAAATTTAAACTGTTTTTAAAAAAAAATTGATCCAAAGTGGCACAGGAACATGGAATCTCTGCCCACACAAAAATAAACAAACATATGCTGGTGAATTCTTTGATAACTGATCTTTTGATAAAGGGTCTTGTTCCCCCATTTTTCAGTTACATGTGTAATTTGCTAGAGCAGATGGATAAATATGGTTTGTGTCCAATCTAATTTGCTAAAAAGTAGAGAAACATGTTAAAATGCAAGGAATGAATTTTGTCATGTTCACTGAATGGAATTTGAGTTATGTGGTCTTCTGAATTAACCATCCCGCATACCTTTTGGTTGAATGCCACCTTCAGTTTCCCCCATGATGCATTAGAGTGGTGATGTTGATAACTGTTTAACGTCTGCCTGCACAAAATTTTGTTTTCCGATTTTGATCAGCTGAGGTTGAACCACTTCAAAGTACACAAGTGAGTGCTCTTTGTTGCTGCGTCTGTCTGTGTCACGATTTGTAACTGTAAGTACTTTGCCAGTGATTTCTCAGAGATCTTTATGAATGGGAGCTAGACTAGATTTTGATTTGAAAAGAGAAGGCATCATTTTTTTTTTTACGATTTCAGATTACCAGTATTCCAGATGTTTTAGGTTTGATTTAAAATTAAATACAGGGGGAAAAAGCTTTAGCACATGTCAGAAACATTTTTGGAGCTAATTATATATTTTTGGTGAATTTTGACACAATGTAGGTCAGGGAGAGGAAACCAGTTATTTTCTGGCTCTGTTTGTGTTTTGTTATGATTACCAATTATCTGACTGCTTTGAATGATCAGCTTTAAAATTAGTAATATCCCGCCTCATGAAATTGGGCACAACGACAGAATTAGACTCGTGTATAAAATAAATCAGTTATGAAGAATATAAAATCTAGAATTGCTTGAGCAGTGTCGATATAAAATTGACTGAATTATAAGAGAAGTAACATGATTAGATGTATTATGAGTATTGAGAGTTGTGTCGGCAGTTTTTATGAAAGCACTCCCGAAAAACAATTTTGCTGAAGAGGAGAAAGAGAGATATCTGATGAATCATCGTCCTGTCTACAACACTACAGAACAGCAAGTCTGATTCAGATTTTTTTTTATTTATCATTTCAGTTTAGCGGTACATCTTCGACAAATGGTCACGGAGAACCTGTGAATTCCAGTTCCGATTTAAATCCACTCTACGCCCTGTCTATGCAACAAGATAATATGGGAGATACAGAGCCAGTGAACCCTTTATATGATGTGAATTCTGTTCCAGAGGTCCAGAAAGGAGATTTAATGATGTCCTCTGGGTCCTCAAATCCTATGTACGATTTTTTGTCAACCGAGGGAACAAATGGACATGCTAATTCTGATGACTTGTTAGGACTAGACTCCTCCAATCAAAGAGATTTACTCGGAAGTGAGAAAAATCAAGTGAATGGTTCAGTTGAAATGGATGCTGGTGCCAGTAAAAGTGCAGAATTGGATGTGTTTAATGAAAATAACGGACAGAGCAATGATAACCTTGTTGATATGAGTGGAAATATAGAAACAACTCCTGTGGTGGATGAATTCTCGCCCAAAAATGAGGCCATTGAGGACCTAGAACAGGAAAGTGGATCAGTCGAACAGGAAGGTGGGTCAAGCACATCAGGAGAACTGCTAGTGGACAGTGATGTCACAAACACAAGACTTGTTCCTGAGGAGGACCTTCTAGGAGAGACCACTCCAGCAAAGGAGTCTGAGGACCTGCTCGGAGGAGCCATGGAAGCTGATGTTGTGGAGGAAACCACACAGGAAGCTGTAGAACAGGAGGAGCAGCCTGAGGACGAGGTACCAACTGAGGAGGAGCCAGTCAGGACAGAAAATGGGGACCAAACTGAATCTCTTATGGACCAAGGAGGACCGGTATCTGAGGACCTTATCGGAGATTTCTCTCAGAATGCTGAGGTAGTGGAACAAGAAAGGGTTCCGGCAGAGCAAGAAGAAATAGTAGAAGTTCAACAGGAGGCAGTAGAGGAGCAGACAGAGGAGGACACTAGTCCTCCTCAGCCCGAGGAGCCAGTTAGAGAGCCGACTCCAGAACCAGTTAGGGAACCGACTCCAGAACCAGTCAGGGAACCGACTCCAGAACCAGTTAGGGAACCGACTCCAGAACCAGTCAGGGAACCGACTCCAGAGAAATCTGAGGAGCCAGCTGTGGTCGAAGATGTTTCACAACAATTAGTTCAAGGTGAGCCTTTACAAAGATTTGTAATGATGTGAAGCATTCTTGGAACTACTTCTGTTGAAAGGTTCATTTAATCATAATACGAGCCATTATATTTATTATGTAGCATCATTTTTCACTTCTCATTCTATTTCATTAACATGAAGCAGATGGTGTATTAAACATTATGCAATACAAGATATCTCTAAACATTGTAGAAATTTTATTAATTACTCAAAAAAACTTGAATTCTTTCTACATGATTTCTTTGTTAACAATTTGCCGATATTTGTAGATGAGGCAGTGGAAGCAGACGAGAACATGTCCTCACAGACCAAGGATCCTCTGCAGTCAGACAGTCTGGTCCAACCTCTGGTGGAGGAACTGGCCATTACCAGGAGCCCCAGCTCATCCGAGGGCGAAATCGAACAGGTAAAGAGGATTCAGTGTCTGCTAGAATTATGTTTGAGCTTGATTTATGTGTTGTGTTGCCTTTTCTTCTTTGTGGTAAATATGGGCATCTCAAATTAATGTAAATGTATATAATCAACAGTATAAGTATAGGATATCCCATGGTTTTTGGTTGAATATGACTTTTTCATCAAACAAGTTGTGTTTTCTATCCCTGAACATTGATTAGGGGATAGAAAACATCAGCTGGATAAAAATCATATCCTACTTCAAAACATGGGATGTTCTTTTTATCACATATTTTATTCTCCTATAAAGTATACTTGTAGTTGTCACATATTTCAAAAAGTTTTTTATCATGTGACTTAATCAATTTCAAGCACAAACAGTTGCGACATAGCCGTTCCTATAAAAATGATATATGTGCTATACATGTTTATACAATAGATAAAGGAGTAAATATGTGATAAATTGAGATATACCTTTGATCATTATACATTTACACTAATTTGAAATGCAAGTGTTGAGTAAGATTGTTGGAACTCTTCAAAAACCATTTTTGCTTATCATTCTAGTTCTAAATATAAATTGTCTTAGAGATGTTTAAGTTTCATAAAATACACATCCAATACATGGTCCTGGTAGGTGGGAACATCAACAGCAGATGTTATACACATTGTAGATTGTAGATAAAATGCAACGGAAGATTTCCTGTTTGTCTTGGCATCTCGGCCATTTACTAGTTGCCATACAGTACAAGTGTTTTGATAGATGTCCTCATTTTGTCCCCCTTTACTACACATTTAGAAGAGCTTGGCCTCGACAGGGTGACACAGGTGCTTGTTTACAAAAGCTCGTCTGTAAACATTTTGTGTTGATAGCTAGTACTTGAGTCACATTTTAATTACGTGGTGTTTAAAATGTTTGTTGTTATACTGGTATATGAATAAAAAGGATACTTGAAATCCTGGCACAAGAGGGTAAAAACTAGATATAAAACTGTAGAAGCATTTAGAGCCTTATTTCATTGTTAGAGCAACTGCATGAATATTTAGTGCTTGGTTTATATGTTGTTAAGAAGGATTTAAGAGTTATTTCCCTTGAAGTATCTTTCACTATTCATTTTAACAGATGTGTTTAGATATGTGTCAGTAGTTTCCTTGAAGAAAAATTTCATCGTTTATATTATACATTTAAAACAAGTCTGGGTCTTGATCTAAATCAGCATTTAATTTTGTCTTATTAATGTAAAATTGATAGGGAAAAAGCCTATTTTTTCTGACACGGATTTTATGCTTTCAAAATTACTTGCAAGTAAATATTTTTTACTACTAGTAGATAAATATGACATACCATTTTCTCAAAATCTTGAAAGAACTATAAATTTTGTAAAATTTGGCTCAATGTAAAAACCAAGAAGAAAGCTATAAAAGTTTGTAAAGAAATTCATTGTTTTAGCAGAAATCATTTGATACAAAACTTTATACATGTATACTCATGGAAATATTATTTTGATTAAAAAAATGTTAAAGTTGATCAACATTCCTAGCTAATATATCACAGAGTCATCTATATTGAAAACCATCAGTAAAATACATCAACTTGTTATGTATGTCTTATCATGGTGATACATGTATTGAGTTTGTACAAAGTATACTTTGTCCCATAAGAATTAATAGATAAGGAATTAATATAAAGGGCAAAATATGCACCAGGCTGCACTTCCGGAGCAATTAATAATGCAGTAATTAATGAGAATGAGAAGACTGTATACACGATATGGAGGCAATCTTGATCCCCTTATAGACCGGAGGCTGTGAGCGAAGTCATTGATTGTCAAGTTTACCTGTTATCCTAATCAAGGTGAGACCGTTAGGAAAGGCTTCCTAACGAAGAAATTAAACATTACGTGGATAATTCTGATTAAGAGGATCAACTTGTGTGTGACAGTGAATAATTCCTTATATAGGGATTTTATGGACCCACAGTGAATTAGTAAATGGCTAAAAATAGAAGGACAGGTATATAATGGAAGAAAAAGAAATTCTGGAAAATGTCAGAGGCAAAAAAATCAATGGTCGTGGTCTAAGCTGATAAGGACTATCTGACACATGGTCAAGGTTCACAATGACAGCTCCCTGTAGCTGTTATATAGAAAATCTGAAGGGTAAAAACCTTGATTTCTACAGGCATCCCTAGGCTCAGGTGTGAATATTTAGTTGCAATAAACTGAACTAAGACTTATTTTATGATATTCATACCATAATAAAAGTGAAATGGACCATGACCATTAAGTGATGTATTCATGAGGGGGTTTTGTTACTATATATGCAGGTGTCAATGCATGAAAAGGCTGACTAAGTAATCAGGGCGACTAACACGAGAGACAAGTCGTAATATGTGAACCCTGTGGCATACCTGTACCATGTTAATAATGGAAGACAGACAAATGACACACCTGTATGGAGGAAATGTGGACAACAGATCTTTTTTTATGGTGTTTGGTCCGAAATAAATGAACATAAGTCAAACATCAGTCGAATGTCAAGTGTTTAAGAGCCCACATACAACGATGCACTTTTTTTTCCATAGGAAGTTATTTCAAGTGGTTTTACATTACTGACTGGGACTATAGAAGCACTTGCTTGATCGTTTGGCAGATTCTTTGGGGAAATTAGATGAATGTGTAATAAATTTTGTTAAAGCTCACTAAATTATTTATTTGACCATATAAGGTCTACTTGGAGGGGAGCCAAAGAACAGATACCTTTAAGATCAAACCTTTGTTTTTACCTACTATGTATATTTGCTGAACTTTAATGACTGGAATTGAATGCCTGTGTGAGAAAATTCTTGCTCTAAATATTTTTAAAAGATAGCCACAGAAATATTTTCCATACATCAAGGATTGTAGCCTGATCCCTCTTTGAGACATTGTGTTCTAGGTGTATATATACGACAAGAATGCATCATTCTACCGCTTTAGCCACTGTGGATCTTTAATTCAACTCATGTCTTGACTGGGATTTAAAAAAAAACTGCAACAAACACACATGTGCGATTGTTGACCTGTTAGACGAAAATGGAGGAAGGAAAAAGCAATTCAGAGATTGGCACCAATGGTGTCAGCAGTGAAAATGGACACACTTCCACCTATAAAATGGAAATAGGAATTGCAAAGCTTGACACTTCCTATTTAGAGAACCACATGCAGTGTGCCAGAGTTGTACAGAATCCTACATTCCAGGAATCTTTATCTGGTAGGGAGGACTTGTTTAATCTATCCAAAGAAGATGGGGGTGTTTCCCCACGGTACCCAAACGACGAATATGAAGAGATAGGTAATGTGCAGAAGGGAGATAACTCTTCAGAGGACATGGATAGAAGCCGGAGTCTAAGTTCTGAGGATGTGTTTGCGTCTGGTGATTTTGATGACTACTTGGACCCGATTTGTTCACCTATTAAGTCTGTCAATAATGATGATTCTGAATCTGGGGCTCCCACCACTTTGAATGTTAATGATCCACCCATCATCATTACCACCACTCATGAGTACGAAGATTTATCGCCTGTTAGTCCAAAAGAAGTCTGTAAAAGTTACACCAGCCTCAGTCTCAGTACACCCAATCAAAGTACTGTGAGTGACAATACTGATGCCAAAGAGACAAATATTTATGATAACTGTGATATTTATGAAAACGACGCACATACACCAAAGATAACCACAATTAGACATAGTGAGGACCAAAAAGGAAATGTAGAGTGGAAAGATGGAGGAATGAGTGAGCTTGCAAATGAATCTGAAATGGACTTTTTATCTGACAAAGTTGAAGAAGATACGCAGGATAATTTCTCTATTAGAAGTATTCAAGGATCAGTTGCATACTTGGGTGACGTTTCTGGTGAGGGTTTTGATGAAAGTCGAAATATAGATGAAATTGAGGATGATATTGATGATGATTCTAATTCAGACAATCAAGGTGAATTCGATTTCACCTCACCAGAGCAGCAAGACCAAGTTGAAGATGAGTTGGATAGGTATGTACCCATGGAGAAAGTGGGCAGAAACTTCAATGCACTAGAAAAGGATGAAAAAGCTGCAGCAAAATTTGAAGACAATTTAAAGGACGACAGTTCAGTGCTGAGTATACAAGGATCAGTGTCTTATTTGGATGATAGTGTATCTTGTTTCACAGAAAATGTAGATGAGCAGCCCAGTGGGATGAATGAGACTGTAAATGAATTTGAATCTGAAGAAATTCTGTCCAAGGAGGCAGAAGATGATAGGGAGAACAGTTGTTCTACAGGCAGCATACAAGGGTCAGTGGATTACTTAGACGATGATATTTCCTGTGATGCTGTAGATGAGAGTAGAAATGTCGATGAAATTGAGGACAATGAAGATGATTTGGAAGCAAGTGATTCAAAGAATCAAGGCAAATTAGACTTCAGCGCATTGGAGGAAAGGAATAATCAATCTCAGGATGAATTTAATAGTTATGAATATGTAAGAAACGATGATGATAGCTTAAGCACATCTGAATTGGACAATAAAAGTGAAGACAACTTGAGGGATAACTGCTCTGTGATAAGTGTCCAAGGATCTGTGTCGTATTTAGATGATAATGTGTCTTGTTTCACAGACGATCTTTTAAGTGTTGGTAAAAGTGATTACGAATCTGATGAAAACATTACAGAACCTCCCAAGACAAAATTCATGAAAGAAAAGCAGAACTTTGATAAATTTTCTAGAGATGCTGATCTTGGTCATAGAAAAAGTACCACAGACTCAGATTTAGATCAAATTCCATCAAACTTGGTCAAAAGGCTTTCTCAACAGTTTTCTAAGTCAGTGGGGGACTTGAGATATGTGCCATTTTCTTTTACTTCAAGAAGAACTTCTTTACCAAAAACATATAAGGTAATAAATGTTGGTGTCACAAGTGTGGGTTGCACACAGCAGTTGAATATTGAAGTATCTCCCCCCCCCCATCTCTTTTTTCCCCTTCCTGATTTACATTTCATCTACATCATCATTAGAGAAACATACATGTACAGTACAGGCAACGCGGATCCCGTATTTCCCGCGTCCCCGCCGCGGTATAATCATAACGCCGTATTTGGCCAGGTAGACAGGTAAACCGCGTTCTCTCCGCGGGAAAATCATCACTTACCTGTCCCCGCCGCGGTTAAATCATCGATCATTTACTGACAATTAGTATCGTAAACAAACGGGAGTTATCTCCCTGAATTGTAATTTGCGAATTTTCCCTGTAACAAAAAAAATCAAAAACAAACAAACAAACAAACAAAAAAAAAACGTGTGTTTATTAATAAATTTTGCTATGAATAGAATTTAAACTAAGAAAAAATAAGTTTATTTTTGTTTCTAAAATTACATGTCAATCTTTGAAATTGAATAGAAAATTTTATTAAATTGTTACGTCTTTGCAATTGGTTAATTATTTTGTGTTACAGTACAGGCCGTTTATTATCATAGCTTATTTGTCAGGCCAAAACTTTATAATAACCGACTATGATAATAACCATGGACAGCTGAAATTCATCCCGGAGGTCTGACATGAGCACCAAGTAACATGTCTGCCGTTTTTACATCATTGCATGTCTTATGAATAAGTGTTGTTACTTGTCATATCATATTTGTAGGTTTATTTGAAATAAAAGTTAACTAGCATAAAATATTGCATTATTTACTTACTATTTTAACATTTTGTATGAATTAATTCGCTTTCATGAAGCTTCATTATCTCCGAATTCAATCTTCTAGTTGCCTTGGCATCCATCTTGTTTATTTTCATTTTGATCTACTTTCACTTTTAACGAAATGATTAATTCATTCTACCAATGTTTCAATTTATTTTAAAGGTCGTATATCTGATAAAAAACGCAACAAAAGAGATTATATATATTCAAATGGTTTATTTCATTTATTCATAATCGGACAGTTTTATAAGTGTGATTAATTATGAACATTGATCTGCCAACAAGAAATTATTAAGCTTGAGTTAATTGACACTAAATTTAGATTCAACACATTTTTGGGAAAACACATTTATTTATTTATTATCAATGTACAACTCAACGTAAACAAAAAAAGAAAATGATTGAGAATGGTGTCCTGCTGTTGTGTAATGTAAACAAACTTCGAGTCATCGCTCAGGTAAGTTCACTGGAGTGTGACTAATCCCCCTCAGCCAAGCCATTGTGTTTAGATAAGCGACAGTGCATGGGCCACAGGTGTTGACAGCCGTTATCTTTTGTTTTGTTAATTGTCTCAAGAGTGAAAAGGTGTGAAAACAACCATTACGGACGAAAAATTTTCTATTATAGTAACCGAAGTATGCACTTTTACCTATGATAATAACGTAAGAAATTAACATTGAATTATTAAGAAATGGTTTTGTGTTTTAAATATCTATGATAAAAAACGGCCTATGATATTAAACCGGTGTTATAATAAGCGGCCTGTACTGTATTAAGAATCTATCAAGAAACAAAATTAAATACTAGAAATTTTAATTAGTTTTTTTTTAATCTTCATATTATATGCAAACTGTAATAAATGTTGAACTCGGACTGTTTAAGTTTCTATGAACGATTTTCAGCATTCATTTGAAAAAAAAAAAGATGTACTTCTTTTAAAAAATGTACATCTTCATATTGTTTATTAATTAATTTCGATTTATTGTATATAAAATGTACAGGCTTTTTCTTAAAGTGTCAAATTACTGGAAAACATCCGATGACGAGCATTTGCAGTTACATGTAGTGGGCATGTGAACTTAAATTTTCTTTATCCAAGATATCAAGAAAAAGTTCTATTCTTCTTTATTTCTCATCGTTTATGTTCTGTTCCCAAATTAAGTTAATTTAATTAATTAATTTTCTTTAATGTATTTCCCTCTTTTATATAAATGTGCAGGCATTTTTCTCAAATTGTCAAATGACCGGAAAGCATTCGATGACGAGAGTTAACTTTGAGCACGTGAACTTTATACAAGAGATCAAGAAAAAATATCGTTTTTCACTTTCACATTAACATGTTTTACTTTCTAATACAATGTCTTTCTTTTAAATTTTAATATTTCTCGATTTTCGTGTTCAATAGATAAGATAGGATGTGCAGGTGTAATGATAAACTTCACAGACGAAATTATAGTTTATATTAATGAATATTCAATGCAAAAATTCAAATATTTTTGTTTTCTTTGACAAATTCTGTTTCTTTGTGTATTAAGTATTAGCCGCGATCATTTCCTGTGTATAGGGATTAGCAGTGCCTGAGCAGGAAACGACATGCCCTGGGGGTTTCACACCTGTCATTTAGTATACCTTGGGTAACGCTCGCTGGATGTGCACATCGTTGTCTAACACATTTGATTCATTGTTTTATTATTATTTCATCGATATCATTTTCAGATGCGATATTAGCCTTCGAATTTATGTCATATTATTGTTGCTTTTTTAAACGGAGTGTATAAAAAGAATTAAAGTATAAAAAAAAAACTTTTAAAACAAATCAATGAAGTATTTGATATTAATTAAATCAAATAATGATCCATTACTATGTTATTTCGTGTCTGTTTATATCTGTACCAGTTAGATGATTGAGAGGGAGAGAGAGAGAGAGAGAAGAAAAATATCACAATATTAAGGCACGCGTATGATCGTTTTTCCTCCTATTTTGATCAGTATATCAATTTCTTAAGTCTAGCAAATAAAACTCCCGCTGATTTATCAGTTTATTGACCATTTGTCGAATTTGTCTAAGTTTTATTGTCATTTATCGGGAGACTTGTTTATGATCCACTTTCTTCTTTCGTTTAGCATATGTACATGACATGTAATTTGAATTACTTCCCTTTTTGTCGCCAGATTACAACGACAGATTTTGGTGGTAAGATAAAATGTATTTTTGTTATAAAATTTGATTACGAAAAACACAGTATATTAAAATTGTCGAATTATTGAAAATATTTTTTTGAAACAAAAAATTTAAAAAAGGATTCTGTCTGCAACAAAAACATTCTTTATTTCATGCATTTCAATTCATGAGCTACACATGAAAAAAAACCCGGCTTCGTTTTACAATGTCGTAGGAAAACGCATACAGGTAATACACTCAGGTAACATCCTGTGTATATAGGTAGTATGTACACTAGACAGCGTCGTTCCCTCGGGGCTTCTCATCCGCTTCGAGTAAGCTCCACTCCACACCTAACTTACCTGAGGAAAACCGAACGGTTACACAGACATCTGAAAACTTGAAGCATGGCAACTTGCTAATTAAAATAAGTTAACTTCTGTGTTGTGTGTTCAAATATTTTAAGGGCCCATATTTGTGTTTGTGTTTTATTTGAACCGCAGAAATCTGAAATTTGTTTATGTTCATAAAAATGATTTTAGTATAATTTTCGAAAAGAGCAGAAAATAGAAATACATTCAAATACTAGCTATATATAAAATTATTGATATTCTGAATAGAAATACCTGTGATTATTTTATTAACAAGAACCCCCCCCCCCCCAAAAAAAAAATTTGTCGATATTTAGTTCATAGTCTTACAGTGTAGCGCATAATAATGGAGCAACGATATTCCTACACTTAGGCGTGTTTTGTTAAAATTTAATTGTAATTATGTATCACTATCTATCATCGTTTTTCATGCTTTTATTTATAACAGACATGTATACAGAAGTAACGGTACTTTTCTAAATGAAACCAAATGACTGATATAATCTCGCAGATAAATAAACACATAGCTACATGTAGCTAACTTCAACTGCACGGGCTATTTTATTAAACAATTTGATAAAACTTAAAAATGAATTTTTAAAGAATCCATGTAATGTTATAAATCTATTAATATTAATGTGGTCGTATTCCTCCCCCCCCCCCCTCTCATTTCCACATGATTAAAAATCGACAATGCTTTACAGGTAAGAACATCTAAGCTGAAGAATAACGGTAGCGGGCCCCGCCGCGGTGTAAACACGGTCTCAGGTAGCACCGCGATCAAAACCCGCGACGGTGTAACGCGGAAAGGATTAATACACCGCGGAGGGGACGCGGTCTAATACGGGATCCGCGTTGCCTGTACTGTATGTGTGCACTTGCTAAGACAGTAGTACATGTAGTAGCTTATTACAAAAAAATCGGTTTACCAATTTTTTTTTTGGGTAGAATGCATTGTGTTGGCTGCATGTTGTATGTTTTGTTTTGTTGTCATTTTGCATGTACATAGGTGACCTTCAAGTCTTCCACATACCTAGTCTTTTCTCCCTCTCCCAACTCTGTGCAAGGGAGAGAATTTACATATGAGACAAATCTAGTGAGTATGGAATGATATGCATGCTGATATTACACTCTAATGCTAGAAAACTCGTATTAAATGGAAATCATTTACGCATTATAACAAATTAACTCTTCGTATATAAAAAAAAAAAGCTTCAATTTGGACAGGAAAGTATTATCTTCAGGCTTTTTTCCTCTCTTTTTAAGGAAAACAAAGCTTCTTAACAAATAAGCTAGAACAATTTTATACTTTTTTATATAATTGCTTTTTAAAAAATCTGACAATTGTTTAGACGTTGTAAAGAAAGTTGAGTTCTGCATTGTTCAAGTATTAGGAGATTAAGTGACTTTTCCTACAGCCAAGTACCAATTAATTAGATTACTCCATAACTGCTATTTGTCTGTAAATCACCATAACATGGATTAAACTTTAAAGAACTAAACTGTCCAGCAGTAAAAACAGTTTCTTTGAGGAGCATGTTGAAATGCCTTTATGATTTATTGACTGTTAGTTTTGCCACGTAATTAAATCAATTTTTCTTTATTTACATGAACCAAAGCATGCAATATTAATTTTATTTGGGAATTACTTGATTATTGACCATAGGGGTACCTTGTGTACGTGTACAATGTTAGTGGCTTTAGGATTTTTTGTGGCTTATACTGCTCAGAATGTAAGTAAAATAAAAATCCGGCGTATTTATGACTTGTAGAATGATTGGAATTTGACGGGAAAAAGCTTTTTTACTCCTACGTGAAATAAGTGTCTTACTTACTACTAAAGTCCCTATTACTGTTATAGCACAAGTTACAATTATATCTTTGTCACATATCTCTTTCACTGACAAATGTAGCTATGTGTATTCAGTGATATCTATCTTATACTTCAACTCTCACAAGTTTTTAGCACCATAATAGCACTGATATCTATATGACTATGTAAGTGTTACACAGAAAGCTGTGATTAGGGCTGTCACGGGTACCCGAAATGACCCAGAACCGCGGAACAATTAATTCGGGTCGGGTATGGTTCCGTTTTTCCGGAATTCGGTTCGGTTCCGATTTGTATAGTAGAGTAGGTTTTACTATAAAAATGGCGTCAAAAACGAGAGATTTGTTAGTACATTACCATTATAAGGTGATTTAAATAATTTGGTACCATTGTTTTCTAGTCAGGAAACAACTTTAAACTTCTTATAATGTTGCTATTTCTAAGATTAAATGAAAATATTCTTTTTGTTGTTGAAAATAATACAAATCATGAGCTTTTATTCCATAACCTACCCGAACCGAAAAACCCGAAACCGAACCTTAAAAAATCAGAACCGAACCAACCCGAAAAATTTTGGAACCGTGACAGCCCTAGCTGTGATATATAACTATAAACCTTGCAGTGATATCTATTACATGTATTAAATTTGCTGATGATACATGTGACTACATTTGTCAGTTGTCAGAGATATCTGTGACTTCAAACATTTGAAGGTAATACATGTGTATATCTGATAGTATCTGTGATTGCATTTATTTGTGAATGTGATTAGTATTCTTCTATGATATTTTTGAATACATGTATCTGTGATATCTGAAAACAAAAGTACCAGTCATTGTCTTAACCTACATGTGTGATATCTGTAAAAACAGATTTCTGATATCTGTGACTACATGTATCACTTACTGTAAACGTATTACATTTGGCGGTGTATTCTTTTTAGCGCTTTTGGTGGAAGGATACTAATTCAAGTACGTCGTTAAATGTCTTAAACAATGATACATAAATAAGAATATCAAGAAATGCACTTAATCAAATCTATGCTAACTTGTTTAAAAACCACTTTCCGCTAAATATAATACATGCTAAATATAATACATTTACAGTATATCTGTTAGTACAGGTATCTGATATCACATTAGGCTCTGTCCACAAGTTCCTTTGTCTGATATCTGTGACTTCAGGTATCAGTGATATCTCTCTTTGACTACATGTATCAATAATATTTATAATATACATTAATCATTGATACATCTTTTACAGATGTAAGTGATATCTGTGAATACATTTTGTTTCAGATACAGGTACGTGTATGGTCAAAATTCATAGAGATCTATGTCTAACTCTCAAAACTTTGACATTGTCTGTCAAAGACTCACTGCCCTCCAGCTCAGAGCTACCTACATATTAGTACATCTTTATGCTTAAAAATTAAAAATCTTATTATCTGAGGCATTAAATTTTAATCAAGCAAAATAATTGTACTCGTATTATTGCAGCCAAAATTTACCCTTACACATAACCAACAAAGGCTTAATAACAGGACACAAATGCTTTACAACAAAATTAACAGGCAAAAAAAAAAAATCAAATCATAATAGTTATCTTTGATAAACATTTATATGTGCATACAAAGTCATACCTATTAATTATGTTGCTGGTTATCTTTCAGTAGAGTTCTTTCCCCTTTTCGCTAGAAATTCTGGTATTATTAGAGCAGGTACTTGTTATTCTAACAAACAACTGTTATGTCATCTGTGTTAATATTCTGGCAAAGGTACCAAAGAGGAGGGCATCTCAAAAGAAAACATTAAAACCGCAGGATCTAAAGTCTTTAGAAATTCGTATTTTTTATTTTCAAAAGCTTTGAACTCATAAATCTTTTGCCAGATTTAAAGGGAAAATGTCTTATTTTTAATGAAATACCATGTAAAACAAAAAGGCAACCTACTTGGATCCTCCATACATTCCATACACCTGATCTGAAGATAATTAAAGCAGAAGGTAGTTGCCTCCCTTTGTCAGTTTGGCAGAGCACTAACATGGTGTTTTGCGATTACAGAGCAGACTAGCTCTTGATCAGATTAACGTAGTACCTTTACAGTTAAGTCTTTGAGCAAACACTTCCTCTTTTTCGTGAAAAAATATAAATTCCTCCAACCCCTCCCCAAGTCGTTGCTCTTGGTGAATGCAAGAAAATTCTGGTGGCAACTGCCTAAGTATAATTAAGAGAAGACAAAACTGATAGATACGATGAGTGTTATTTATAGCTTGTTTTGAGGCTCTTTTCAACAAATATTTTCTCTCCTGATGTGATGTGCACATGTCTTGTTTGTGAGTCGATTTTCATCGTAGGAAGGGATTATTAGTATCTGTGCATATAAGTGTGTGGTGAATTCACTGGAACTAAAGTTATACTTATTCACTGATATAGGAAACTTTGATTTGAATTTATTGTGATTATTTTTTCAATTTTGGAAATTTTGCAAAAAACATGGCTTCTAAATTTGGAGCTACCTTGAAATCTGTTGGAAAACCATCTTCTTCTACATCTAAATTTTCAAAAGAAGAAAAAGGAAAATTATCAACATTGCTAAACTCTCCCAAAGAAGCTGAATCTGCAAAAACAGCTTCAGCCTCTAAATCACAGCAAGTGGAAAAAGTTACTAATGTGTCCTCTAAAACTAAGGAGGAGAAGGGGAAAGTTAGTGTAGGTTCTAGTAAGTCCTCTAAAACTGAACAGAAGGGTAAACTTACCATTTCTTCTAAATTTTCAAAGGAAGAAGACAAGGGACCAAAAGGACAGAAGACCACCAGAACCAAGGAGGAGGAAACCAGAGTAGGTAAGTGTCTCATTGTGTCCTAGAGGACCACGAGAGCAAAGGAGGACATTTGAGGAGGTACATGTAAGCATCAGAAAGTGTCCAAAAGGACATCAAGAACAAAGAAAGAAACCCTTGGAGGTAAGTGTCTGATAGAGGAAGAAAGATCTCAAGAATAAAAGAGGAAATATGAAGAGGTAAGTTCTGACAGAAGAGGACCATAATAATTAAATTCGGAAACTCAGGTAGAAAAGCATGAACTGGAGGACAAAGAACAATAGTCATAAAGCATGAGTAAAAGAGTCAAATAGGGGTCAGATGACCTCAAAAAAATAAAGAAGAGGAAATTCCAGTGAAAAATTGTCTTATGGATGTCCATTGTTGTCCAGAATAGTAAGACTTGATGGACTGTTGGATGAGATCATAGTGACCTATGACCTTTTCTCAGAAATGTTAATTTAGATGAAGTAAAAGTGTGGATAAAAAACTTTTTTGAAACCACCTGTTAAAAATAAAATAGTAACTTGCTTACAGTAATTGTGCACGGATGGCTAAAGATGCATTTTAGAAAGTTTGCAATGCATTGAAACTTTCTTAAATTTTGTTAATTTCAATCATGATGGACTCTTTTGGACTGAATATGTGTGTGTGTGTGTGTGTGTGTGTGTGTGTGTGTGTGTGTGTGAGGGGGTATTGTGCAGTTTCGTTTTCCATTTAAAATTGGAAAATTAAAAATTTTCATTGGACACAAGAAAATTTTTTAAATAGGAATTTAATTTGATTCTGTAAAAATTCTTGATTGCATTTTTAACCTGGCATTTGCTCAGTATCCAAGGTTGAAAGCATTTCTTCAGAAATTCTTGTTGTGTAACTAACAAATTGAGATGCATGTAATAAGATTAGCTAGGAAGTATTGAAAACTGTCTTACAATTCACTTGTTTCCTTGGCATTGAGTAGGTATAGTGCTGGCAAATTCTTGGAGTTAGAACAAATAAATCTGTTGGAAATAATTAAAAGCACCAGAGTCTGCTGATGCCTGGGTACTTAGTTAGAGGGGAATTCTGAAGATAAAGAGTTGCAAAAAGAATTGTTCTTAATGATTTTTGCTTTCTCGTTTGAAGACATTAGTATTACAGACAAGGGAAATGGGATTTTTTGTAACACTTGCATTTGTATCCATAACCCTAACCAAGAATTTATTAATTCCATTCATTGCCTATACAAATGATTTGTAGAAGTTGTGCTGTTTTTCAAAACTATAAAGAAACCTAGCTACCATATTTTAATCTTTAGTACCAACTATAAGAAGATTGAAATTGTTTAGAATTGCAGAAGGTGAGCAAAGGCTTCTTACACCTTTTTCACCACTTTCAGTATAGTATCAAAATGTCTAGGATATATCATCATATGTTTCTCATACCATGGTTAAATCTGTCATCTCGTTGGATACAGAGGAATTATGTTGGATGTGTAGGAGGGAAAAAATATGTCTGACTTGCAACCCTGTGAAGCTCACTAGACTCATCCTGTATTATAGCTTCTGATAAGTGCATATACCTGGTAACAGTCTTAAAGTAAGTAGAAAAAAAGGACACCGATGCATCCATGGAGTTCATTTGTCAGTGTTCTTTTCAAAGGTCTCTTTGTAATGTTAGAAATGGTAGGAAGAAAAAAATAACCACTTCCTAACTGGTTTAACACAACCTTGAGAATGAAGTGGTTTGATCGATTGGTTGTATTGTACACAATCTGGCAAATCATCGTAACCACGTGGTTGTTATCTCGACAGACTAATGCGATGAGAATTCTTGTTTTGTTTTACAGTCTAACACTAGAAAAGGGAACATTATATCAAGTAGTTAATGTGTCAATGTCCATTCCTGGAGATTTTGCATAAAATAGAGCAAGAGCAAGATCTAGAGGAGATCTATGTTGAAATTTTGATGTCAAATTAACAACATAGCACACCGATACGATGCGTACCAAGATTCCAACCCTTTATCCAAAAAAAATATATGATATTGTCTAAATTTTGAAAATATAATTTTACACATTACATCCTTAATATACGGACAGCCAGGTCATATTTATTTAGAATTCTAGTTTCATTTTCAGGTGATAAACATTAATCAAAACACATGATAAGGTAAAAATTTAACTGGTGTTTTAGTTTCATTTTCAGATGTTAATCATAATAAACAAATGATAAGATAAAAATTTAACCTGTGCAAGTAGGGATTGCATAATTTGAGTTTTTTAAAGATCTTTTTCAGTCCATTTTATCACCTGGACCTGATAAATACAGATAAACGTGTGATTATGAGAGGTCCTTAAACAATCTTTTTAACACATCATTTTCCATCTATGCAGCAAAGAAATTCTCATAAAGCAGCCGTAGATACACCTTCCCCCATAAGACTGGGTAAGGTGTGTGAATCCTTGACTAGGCAAGCTATGCAGGCCCAGACCTGCTCTTCATATTCAAACATTATTAAAGAATGAAATAGCAAACAAACTATGTTTTTTATTTGTTTAAAGTTTTTGAAGCTCTAATCACTACCATTTTGAAGGGGGCCAATATCTGGCCCTTTTCTCTCCATAAATTGGCAAAGAACGTAATAAGGTTAGCCAGAGTAAACAAGTTGACACTTTTCGCAAGTTTTCGCTGAGCTGGTGCATTTTTTTTTCACTTTTCATTGGCTTAAACTGATTTTACATATTTTAGAAACCCTTATGCATATATAATAGAATGGGGATCTGGAATAAATTATTTTCTGCGGAGTTAAGTATTATACATGTATAATCGTTTTGTATCCAAACAAAGGCTTCACAAACAATGCTACAAAAAAAACCTAATATACATTTTATCAACATCTTATCAATGGTTAATCCAGTCATTGAAAGCATATGAACCTATCAATTGTTTGGTAATCAATTATTAATGTCCTAAGGGCCTCTGCAAGGTCAAAGTTCAAACTTTATTGTCAAATTTAGCGTACACCTTTCAAGAGAGAAAAAATGTATGTTGGAAGCTCTTAATATTAATGCATGGATGGCTAGCTGTGTTTTGAATGATCGTTTCTGAATTAAAAGGACCAAGAAGTCTATATTGGATTATTGCCTGCTGTTTACACTCTCAAAACAGAAAGTGGAAGTTCAGAAGTGTATCTTTAAACTTGACAGTGCAGTGACTTGGTAGTTGGTACCACCCCCCTCAGCCATTGAATCTATATGATTTTACTCTAGTGTTGTTCTAGTGCACAGCTGATATGTTGGGGGATGTAGATTTTGAGCAAGGTAGGTTTAGTAAGTTAATTACTACCACTATAACTGACCATCACCAATGCCGGTGCCATATTGATTTTTTTTCAGGTGATTCACTGTTCACCAAATGAATATAAATATATGAGTACAAAAGTAGCCTTTCAAGCAGAAATCAGTTTTTATTTATTTTTTGGTTTCGACATGGCCCGTTGATAATGATAGAGTAATGAGGTGCCTTGCTGTTCCTAAACTTTTAGAATTTTTTTTTTTACCTGAATTGTCAAACAGGTGAAGTCTATGCATATTGTGTTTTATTGGGATCGATTTACCTCTTAAAAATCTGGGAGCATTTGTATTTAATCAACACCATTTCTTTTTTGAACTGATCTCCCCTAAAGAGGAAGTCAATGAGAAATCTAAGCTGATCTCGGGTTTGGCACACTAGGTTTTGGCATGGTGGCGATAATTTGTTTTGGATAGAACCAAAACTTTATGTCTAAGCTTTATGTAACATGGTTTTATTGTTTGGGGAAGTTCTTTTTTGTTCCTTTTCTTTATGAGTTAACATAGACTAGTTAGAAGAAAAACAGACATTAATTGGTTCTTAATGGTATGTGTTCATTTAGAGGTGTTTTAAGGTCAAGGTTACACTGAAGCAGGTATACACATGCATTTTGATATAACTGTAAGAACAGAAATATATGAATTGATTGTACATACAAATATTTGCATGTGTTTTAATGCAGAGTCTATATATTTTCAAAACCATAGCTAGCTGTTTTCAATTATTGTTTAATTTACAATGGGATTTGGGAAATTGGTTTCGCTTGGTAATTATTATTTTTAGTTTGAATAATTTCAAGATAATTTCTCAAGAGAGTTATGAAAAAAATAAAATCAAGTCAAGTCTTGCACAATATTGAAACATATATGCCTCTTTTGAATCTTGAGGTTGGCCCCAAGTTAATCAAAGTTCTTAAAAGTTCTTAATTTTGACCATTAGACCATAAGAGAGGACTATACAGTTTTACAATTCTTTGTTCAGCATCTTTCCACAACTAAAAAGAGATCTGTTGGTTGTACTTTGATGAAAGTTATTATTTATCCCCTAAAGCAATGTTCTTTTTTCACAATGTTTGTGTAAGAGGATCAAGTTGAATTGTTGAAGTACATATACCATTTTCATTTAAAGGATAAAAATATATGCTTCTGCAGCTGACCCAGGGGAATTTTTAATTCCTTAGGTCTATAAACATGCAATACCTAAAATTTCATTTTGAAAGTTCTTGACTATGAAGGTGTAGTGAAAGATGATTAAGACGAAACAATGATTACCATTTTGAGGAAAAGAAATATTTTAACATCTTGTTGGCTTTGTAATACCTGTGCAGGTAATGATCTCTGTTTTCTTTTTTAATTTCTAAATCATGTAAGATGTCTGAAATTTTCAGAAATATCCCTAGAATAATTTTGGTAGGTTTTAATATCCATGAGGTAAATTAACATTTTTGAATAAGAACATCTCCATTTACTCAAGTTGACTAGATTTGATTTTGAGTTGAGGATATTTGGGTAGTTTCTAATTTAAAAGCTTGATGATAATGGACAGTAGAGTATTTGAATAAGTAAAAAAATCTACCTTATGTCTTTAGAATCACTTTATTCTTATTAAGTAATATTTTTTTCAGAAAAGTAATGAAAAATACAGGGGAAGGAACATCTGAGTTTCAAAATTTCAAATTGTACTTTTGTGTTT